GCTTGCTGCAGCATGGGGTCCAGGGTTCCTCCTCCAACTGCATTCGGGGGTGGGGATGGCTGTGTGGTGGGGTCTGAGGCATGAGTGTGAGGAGCTGGGGTCGGGGTCAGGGCTGTGGGATAGTATGCTGCTGGCTTTCTCAGTCATACAAAAAACACTGGGAGTCGGGGAGTGGAGCATAGGATTCACTGCAGAAGGGTAGACACGGGGTGCTGTTGGAACAGCCAGCTGGAAAGCTGATGATGTTTGATGGAGAGGCCCCATTGGTGCTGTGAGGTCCCTTTTAGCTGGAGGTAGCTGTAGCAGTAAGTAGTGGCTGGTGGTGAGCAAGGCAGGAGGTTTCCCTTCCCCCTGAGAGGGGAGGGGGGCTGTAGATCCAGGCAAAGGTGGTGGTGGTGGGGAGAGCAGGAGCCTGCGGCAGCTCAGTAGAGCTCCTGCTCATCCCTGGTCCAGCAGCTCCAGCAGCAGTCAGCAAAACGGTGGCGCTCCCCTGTGGTCACAGGATCTCGGACGAGATGGACCTATGTTCGGACTCAGTAAATGGCAGTTCTTATGTTCTGCTGCTGGCAGGAGTCATTATCTTGCTTTCAACACTAACCTCAACAAAATTTTCCTCAACTCGAACAATGTTCATAGTCTATATCATTGGTGCCCAACTCATCCAGGCTTTGGGCCAGATGACTGTTATGGGTCAGTCCGCAGCCTGGATCTGGTGCATGGGATCAGTCCATTGCACTCATTCAGTGTGGCATCAGCATGCAGATGCCATCTGGATTGGACCCACTGTCCTAGCCCCAGCTCCACATGCACTGGATCAGGCCCCGTGCTGCAACCGGGCATGCAGACCTGGTTCAGCACATGGGCCATGTCTTCTGATCCACAAAGCTTGTTAATTTGTTAGTGGGGAAGTAGTGGCCGCATTAATTGCCACCTCTTCCCACTGCCATGTTTCCAGACCTGTGAGGAGCCCATAGGCCAGATGTGACACAGCTCCATGGGCTGGAGATTGAACACCACTGATCTACATTGTGTTGTCAATTTGTATTGTGGGCAATATACAGGGTGCAGGGATCCTGAATCAGTATAGCACTGGAGCCCTACTTTAAATACTTGTACTTGGTGCTTAGACCATGTCAAAGTCCAGCAGAGAAACTTTTTTACTCATTATTTCAACCCTGAAGAGGTCTCAATATAAAAAGTTATATGAAAAATATGTACATCAAAATATACAAATGATTGTGCCCAAATATATATTTGAGCACAATATGTACAGAAATTTAAGGGAACCCACTTGCATGGAAGCTCATCCACTTAGTCTGAATTGTTGGCTTGTGTTTGTCTATGGGCTGGTGAGCCTTTTGGGTCACCTGTAAAGTGCTACCTCACTGGGGTGGTGCATAACTGATAAGGAATAAGCAAGGTTGAAAATCTCCAATGTATTTTTTTATCTATTTTCCATTGATGTGAAACTTGTTTTAATACAAGTTAGCAGAAACAAAGCAGAGAAACTATAGTTCTATAGGGAGAAAAAAAACAAACCCTACATCTAAGATTCACATTACTTTTTGTAATCTAAGACACACACACGCACACAAAGTATTTTTAAAGGAGAATATGTGCATAGCTTTTCCCTAGGTACCTTCTCCTTGTGACCAGTAAGGATTTTTTGGGGGGGTCATAAGCATATTTCTACTAAACTCATTTTCTTTTAAGTGGTACTAGAGATTTGATAGCATAAAGTGGCAAGTCCTTCAAGTGAATGAAGGCAATTGTTTTTAAAAATGCAAAAACGAGAGAATAAAGATGAAAGGCAAAAATTGATAATGTTCAAAGAAATTGAGTTTTAAAAGAACATATCAAAAATTAATTTAAACTGAGCCCATTTCTTATTTATCATGAAAAACGCTATTTCTGGCAGCTTCTCCTTCCTTTTTGCCTCTGATGGCATTCAGCCTGCCTCTTGCCTTGCCTTTGTTTTTGGTTCAGTAAGCAGAAAATGTGCTACTTTGGTCAGTCCAGTTAGCACTATCTTGTATTCCACATTTTCAGGCAGCAAAGGCAAAATACTGGTTCTAGTGGAATCAGTAAGACAGAACTCCCTTGTAGAGGTGCACCCGCTGCACCGATATACCGGTCACATATCGGATCAACACCGATAAAAGGAAAATTAACATTACCGGCCATCGGCTTTTTTTGGCTGGTGTAGCCGATAATGTCACCAATAAATGCAACATGCATATATGCAACCATAACATGCATGCGGCCAGGAATATAGCCTGGCAGCTTGGAGAGCAGTGCCCTGGAGGTAAGTCTGTGGGGGATAAAGGTTTGGGGGAGGGAAGGGCATGGGGGGGCAGATTGAGGCTCCCATGGTGAGGGAGGGCCTGGGGCAGGGGCAAGTGCTGGTGCTGCCCAGCCAGGGTGGTGGATGCAACCCTAGGGCCAGGAGCAGGATGGAGCCGCGAGCAGCTCATCCAGGGGCACAGAGGGTGGGGAGGGGGGCGAAAGGGAGCAGCTCCCTGCTACTGCCTGCTTTGGGCTTGGAGTCAGGGCCTGTGCCAGCCTATTCCCGGCAGGGGGCTGGGCCAGAGCTGGGTGTGGGGCGTGCCACGATCAGGGCGGGTGGTGGTGCTGGGAGGGGTGGCTACTGGGGTGGGAGCTACAGGGAATTTTGGGGTGGTTATAGCCTCCCAAGGCCTCTGCACCCCCTGGACAAGCTGCCCGTGACTGCTTCCCTCTCCTGGTCCCAAGGTTGCATTTACCACCCTGGCTGGGTAGTGCCTGCCCCTGCCCTACTCCTTCCCTTACTGTGGGGGCCTCAATCTGCCCCTTCCCCTCCCGACTTACTGGCAGGATGCTGCTCTCTACGCTGCCTGGCTGCATTCCTGTAAATTGGCTATCGGATCAGTATCAGGTGATAGGGTTGACTAATAATTGGCTATCTGTATCAGCCAAGAAAATCTTTATCAGCGTCCCCCTACTCTCACGGACTTTGTAGGTCTAGGATTTCAGCGTAGAGGCTAGGTCCAAAATGAACGTAGAATGATAGAAAATGAGGGTTGGAAGGAACCTCAGGAGGTCATCTAGTCCAACCCCCGCTCAATGCAGGCAGATAAACCAACAAGATCATCCAGGTCAGTGCTTTGTTGAGCATTAATCTCCAAGGATGGAGATTCCAGCACCTCTCTAGGTAACCTGTTCCAGTGCTTCACCACTATCCTAGTGAGAGAGTTTTTCCTGATATCCAACCTAAACTTCCCTTGCTGCAACTTGAGACCATTGCTCCTTGTGCTATCGTCTACCACCGCTGAGAAGAGTCCAGCTCCATCCTCTTTGGAACCACCCTAGAGGTAGTTGAAGGCTGCTGTCAAATCCCCCCTCAGTCTTCTGCATAATAAATATGCCCACTTCCCTCAGCCTCTCCTCAGAAGTCATGTCCTCCAGCCCCCGCACCATTTTCATTGACCTCCACTGGACTCTCTCCAAATTCTCTGCATCCTTTCTGTTGTGGGGGGGACCAAAGCTGAACATAGTACTCGAGATGTGGCCTCATCAATGCAGAATAGAGGGGAATAATCACTTTCCTTGACCTACTGTTAACACACCTACCAGTGCAGCCCAGTATGCCATTAGCCTTCTTGGCAACAAGGGCACACTGCTGGCTCATATTCAGCTTATTGTCCACTGTCACCCCCAGGTCCTTTTCTGCAGAGTTGCTGCCCAGCCAGTCAGCCCCTGGCCTGTCCCGGTGCATGGGACTGCTCCGTCCTAAGTGCAGGACTTTGCACTTGCCCTTGCTGAGCCTTATGAGATTCCTTTTGGCCCAGTCCTCCAATTTGTCTAGGTCACTCTGAATCCTAGTCCAACCCTTCAGTATACCCACTACTCCCCCCAGCTTGGCGTCATCTGTGAAACTGCTGAAGGTGCACTCCATCCCATCGTCTAGATTGTTAATGAAGATATTGACCAAAACTGGCCTCTGGCCCAGCCCCTGGGGCGCTCCACTAGATACTGGCTGCCAAGTAGACATTGAGCCATTGATCACTTCCTATTGAGCCAGACAGTCCAGCCAGTTTCCTATCCACCTTACAGTCCATTCATTCAACCCATACTTCCTTAACTTGCTTGCAAGAATGCTGTGGGAGACCCTATCAAAAGCCTTGCTAAAGTGAAGGTACACCACATCCACTGTTTTTCCCACATCCATGGACTTAGGCACTTACAAATCTATCTAAATCCTGTTTCAAGATTCTGAGACCAAAATTGTAAGCTGCAACCCTCACTATGCCTGTTAAGGCCCACTTGCTCCACTGCATGCTTGGAAGTTCTCTAAAGCCATCTATGCTGGTTGTAAGGTTTGGGCATGGAGGCAATGGGGGCAAAAGAGCAGGGAGCAAATAAAGCACGTGAGAAAATGTCTGCTCATGTACAGTTGAGACAACTCACATTTTTGTATGAAACCTGGTCAGTTAAAGTTGTTTTGACACCGGTTTTGGTGCTTTAGGCCTTTAATTTTTTTCTTTCAAAATGAAGGGCATGATTTGTAGAGGTGCCGAATGACCATAATTCTAATGGAAGTGAAAAGAATCCTCAAATGCAGAGATTCTCTGCAAATCTCTAGTGAAGTCTTTAACAAATATTGTAAGCCCATTTGAAGATACTGAGAATAATAAATATTTGGGTCCAAACATTGCCTTGTTACCTCTTAATCCTCAGGAATTTATTTTTAAGCTGGAAAATGACTTCTGAGTCTGTGGTGCCCCTGGGCTTTAATTTATCACTGGCAGAGAGAGGAACACAGAGCACAGAAGTCAGTGGCCAATTCAAGAAAAGACCATAAATTAATACGGCTGTTTTCTTGGGGGAAGGGCAGGGGGCACTGTATAACTAGTTAAAACATGCAAAGAGGAATGATGTAGATCTACAATGTTTTATTCATTATAAACTGGAATAAATTCACTGCAGCCTGAAGCAACTTTTCTTTCTCATTTTTTTTCTAGAGGTTTCAATGAATACCATCTCAAAGGTTCTTGGTAGGAGGGTTCAGCTTAAAGGGCTAATTGGAAAGCGAGCTGTGAAATGCCCCTATTGTGATTTTTATTTCATGAAGAATGGCTCAGATCTTCAGCGTCATATTTGGGCTCATGAAGGTAGCAACATAAACTTTAAACTCACATTATTTATCTTTTGTATTCCTTGCCTGTGTTATCTTAATATACTAAATAATACACTGAAAGTGAATGACATTTCCATCCTGTTCACATTTGTCTAGTTCTCTGTACATGCTCCACTGCCTAAAAGAGAGTCTGAAAGTTTATGGCTGTGGTTTAACAAATTACTTTAATTTGAAGTTAAGGAAAGGTTAAATAAGCCAGTGTGTTGGGTTCTCAGTCACACAGAACTGCATGTCATGTGGTTCTCAACCTCAACAGACAGGTCAGGACTAGTGAAAAAATGAGTACGTTTCTGATCCCCCCCTTGGTTTATGAATGAATTAATTTCTGTTAATACAGAAAGCATTGTCTTTTAAAATAAGTGTGGGCAAGGTGCATGTAACTAAATTCATAATAAAGTCTTAACTAAACCCAGTATTTTGCAGTTATTCATCATACTTACAACTCCCTTTGCACTTGTCCAGAAATGCTTAAGATGGAAATTTATTAATCAAACAAATGATATCCAGTCACATTTGATCATAGTAATGACTTACCTGAGCAATTAAATTAGGTGGTGTGTGCACAATGACTAGAGTGAAGGTAAAAGGTGGTGAGAAGCATAAAACAATTCTGATTTTTTTTTTTTATCCAAAGTTGTGCAAGTCGCTTATAAAAATTTCCAAAATGTGCTGGCAACAAATTTTGGGAATGGAGCTGTCCCTATGGAAGTTTTACAGAACCCCAAGCTGGCTTTTAAAACTGTTTTTACCAAGTAGATGGAAGCCTTTCTGCTTCTTAGTGGTTTCAGACAGGTATGTTTCTCCCAACCATGCAGTTGGTCCAATAGAAGATATCACCCATGGGAATTCTTGCCTCTTGAATGTCGTGGTGATGGTCTAGGAAATAACATCACTTAAACACTTCAGTCAGTTAGTATGTCATGTATCATTATTGATTGTGACTTCAAATGTGTATTTTCCATCCTATACCAAATCTTCTGTAGATAAAAAAACATAAGAATTTCAGTACAGTTGATTCCAAAGTACTAGGGCCATGTTGGTACTATAGGCATTTAGAGTAGCACAATGGACCCCTCCACTTTGCCTTTATTAAATTATATGTTTGGTCATTGTGTAGTCTTCCATTGGGAGCCTAGATAACTCCAAAATTACCCTTTCAGGACAACAGGCAGCATGTCACCTAGGTAAAATATTCTCTGGCCTCCTAGAAAATGTGATTACTATCCAACTAAACAATTGTATGAGGAGGGTGTGGGGGAGATCTGTCTTGAAACAACAAAGTCAACAGGGAGTCAGTCCTACATGTTCAGGTCTGTATGCCTAAATCAGGGACCTGAATCTGGTAAATCTATCTAACTTTCTGAGTACTCAGTTCTTTTAGTTAGGTTAATATGTACGGCAGAGGCTCAGCATCTTTGAAAATCCTGTCACTTGGTTGTAATCCTAATTACAGATTTAGATTCTAAATTGCAGAATCCAAATTTGAAAAAAAAAATTGCCCCATTTCCCTTGTAGTTCAACTAATTTAAGCAGTTTTTCTCTCCACTAATTTCACAGTTTAGACATTTCACCTCCTCAGTCATATAATTTCTTTTTCTTCCCTGTTGCTAGGTATCAAGCCATTCAAATGTTCTCTTTGCGATTATGCCACTCGCAGCAAGAGTAATCTGAAAGCTCATATGAATCGCCACAGCACGGAGAAAACTCACCTATGTGACATGTGCGGGAAAAAGTTCAAATCAAAGGGCACTTTGAAGAGCCATAAACTCCTCCATACGGCTGATGGTGAGTGCATGTTTTATAACCCAAAGCTCACATGCTCAGATGCTAGCTGTTGTCTAAATGTTAATACAATGATGATGATGATGATGCAGTTTTCCTGTCATTAGGGAGTGTGCTCAGAAATGGATTTTCTTTATTGACGAGAGAAAATGTTGAGATACGGAGCCACTGAAAACATCGCATGCTTAACTTCCATAAATGGAAAGGCTGCTGACTACTAAAGATTTGATCTAAAATGCTGGTTCGGCTTTATCTCAGGCATACAGAACTCCACGCACAGAGCATGGGAGTCTGACAGGTGGAAGGGTTGCCGGCTCCTCTTTTATGGGAGGGTAATACAGTGACTGATGTAAAAAAACAAAACAAAACATGAGAGAAATACTCTTCAACTATGGAATGTAACGAAGTTTAAGGTTTAAAAATGTAAAGTATATACTCTCACGTAGAAAACGTGGGTTGCAAAAATTAACTCCATAACAATCAAAACAATATTTTAACATTTTTGTTACATTTTTTTTTTAATTTCAAAATATGAAATTTACTTTCTTGGTATTTTTTGAAGTAGGCACAAAGTGAATTAGGATCATTGCTTTGCATTGCATTTTTGGAGCTTGCTCAGTGAGTGCTTATATGTTACAGTTGATTGAAGTGTCGTCAAATCTTATTCATTCCTTTCTTTATCAGGTTTTGAATATCACTTTTACTTTTCGAGTAATGAATTAGTATTATCTTCTTAAACATCTGATATTCATGTTTAGCTCCCTTTCCATCTCCCTTTTTAGGTTTTCATTTCCAGGGTACACCATACCTCTCACAATGGCAGAATTAAGAACAAATGTTCTTAAGAAATATACAGTTCTTCTTAAATTAACTAGTGTAAGTAAATCATGAAATGACCATGTTTTCCTTTTAAAAACTGTGCTCTTAGGAGCCCCAGTATATTTGAATTAATGGTAGAACTGTTAGGAGACACACTTCATGAAACAGTGCAGCTCTGCTTTGAATCAAGGCAATGACTGTATGCATCAAATGAAACCTCTCTGAACAGTCATGTTAATTCATCAGTTTTTGTTCACATTGGTGGTAGCGATCGCTCATAGTCGAAGATAATCACTCTCATGAGTCAAGTTAAGGGTTGTAGATATGTCCACTGATGGCTAAAAAGGCTGATCCTAGACCCGCAGAGTTTGGTAGATGGCACAGGTGGTGGTTAAAGGGAGGGTCGAACTATGGATTTCTTGGTCTTGTTTCCTTTCTTTCTGTTTCTAACATTTTTCTGCCTCCAGGGCAAGACTGTTTTCCTAAAGTAAGATGTACCTTCTTTCACAAGGCATTGCCACATAGCTCTGTCCCAAGCTACTTTTTCCCAATTTGTGATGTCAATGCCTTACTTAACATGTGCCTTGAGAGTGTCCTTGAAGTGTTTTCTCTGGCTTACGTGTGTCCTTTGTCCTTGGCTGAGTTGGGAGTATAGCAGTTGGTTGGTAAACAGACATCGAGCACGTGTACACAAGTGCCCTGTCTTCTGCAGCTCATGTTGATTTTGTTCCCATACTTCAGTCAAAAGGAAATTGCAAGGTGCGATTAACAAAGAAGAATTTTCTAGTTTTGAGAGCATGCGCAGACCCTGTATAAGTGGTTATTAGATCTGAGCAGATAGTTCTTTCAGCCTTTCTTTTTTGGCCTTTGTGGTTTAGTCTCACAATCTACCTTTGTATTTTCATTCACAATTTAGATGCAATTATTTTCATACATAAATAATAAAATGTGGATTTAAAAATGCTCTTTGTGTTTGCAAAGCAGATCGTTCAGTTCCAGCTCATTCACATGTACAAGTAAGTGATTGTATCACTGGATTGTGACTATTTTGACAACTTGAAACTAAGAGCATAGAATCATAGAAAGTTTTGGACTTTAAGTCCAATGGCATGAAATCCTGATGAAACAGAATTGGACAGAATTGGAGAATCATGAGTCATGATTGGATTTAAATCATAGAATCACAGAAAGTTAGGGTTGAAAGAGACCTCAGGAGGTCATCTGGTCCAACCCCCTCCTCAAAGCAGGACCATCCCTAACTAGATCATTGCTGCCAAAGGGCATGTAATCATAAAGGGCATTTATAAACGTGCTCTAGAAATTGGGGAAGGGGGCACTTAAATTAAGAGCCGCTCCAAAGGAGCTTAATTGAGAGCCACTCTAATTAAAGCGCCTGGAACGTCACATGTATCAGCGTCCCCATGCTCAAACATGGTGGTGGGGTGCTTTAACTAAAGCTAATTGAACAAGCTTTATTTGAAGTGCCCCCACCACCATTTTTCAGCATGGGGACACTGATACACATGATGTCAGAGTGTGCTGGAGCATGGTAATTACCACACTTCAGCAGACTTAATTAATCAAGTATGCTCTGACATACTGTAATTACAGCTCATTGAAGCAGCCTTTCTGCACGTGTATATGTGCTCAGTGGCTTTGGATGTATCTGGACTTGGATTTAAAAATGTGGTGTGAGAACATTTTAACTAAGTCTAGTGTAGACTGCCATCTTCCCCTGGAGTAGGCTGCCTTGCTGCTTTGGCTGTTGCTCTGCTTCCCAGTGGTATGAATGGGTCTAGACTTTTTCTCTTTGTTACTTGCTTTTTCTTTTTCACTCCAAGAAGAATTTTAAGGGTGAAATTCTGTTTCATCAGGATTTCACGTCATACATATGAAACCTCTCGGAGGTTTGAATCATGCCCTTCTTTAAACTTGTTGCCATAAACTCTACACATACTTCACACACTGGTGGCAAGTAGGATCAAATTTCTGTTAGCCAGGGGTGTACTGTATGATGGATTGCTTGAGGCAGTGCAGCTTCTTGAATAGTTCTCTTGTATGGTATCCATTCCCGTGGTAGCTCCAGTCCAAGTTCTTACTAAGGCACTCTGGTGTTCTTCAATTATTCCACAACTAAAGAAAATTAATTTGAAAAAATGCTTCTGCTATTTCCTTGTCTTGTCTTTGTGGCTTATGACTTCAGGCATTTTTTGTTCAAATATCAGCTCTGCAGGGTCAGTTTAACTAGTGGAATATAAAGTGGGTTTCTGTCTGCTTTTATTCCTCTCAGGAGTGACATGACAGAAAGCAGTTCAATAGTCAAGGCTTATTACTGTTTATGATTAGAAATGTAACAGAGAAGCTGATTTTCATTATTTTAATTAGATAGCAAAATTAGTCTGAAGATTTCTCTTAGCTGTGTTTTATGGAAGCTGTCATTTCCAGTATAAAACATTTGCAGTTTTAATGAACAAATTCAGAATTTAAAGGAACCAGGCCTGTTTTATGATCAACTGGAGCAAATCTGACTTATCCCTCTTTGACTTTGGGTCATTTTAACAAATGTTTCAAATAGCTTGAATAAATAAAGCATGGGCATCCTATCGTAAGGGGGAAATCCCTGCATGCTTTTGAATATGTTGTATCATATGGCGGACAATGATAATGGAGGAACAAAGAAAACAGAGAAAGTCACTTGCACAAATGGAAGATGAGGAAAAAAACCCAGAAACCTAGAGAGTAATGGGACACGGAGTGATAGAGATCCGACTGTTCCAGCCTAGTCCATTTTACCTTTTGCAAAGCCTCAAGCGACAAGCGGCTCAACCCCTGCCTCCCCCCACACACTAGGCTGTGCTGGGCGTGTGACGGCAGTGGTGCTAGGGAGGAGCTATGCCAAAATTGGGGGTCGCTACAGCCCTCTCCGTAGCCCCGCCCTGAGCCCAGTCCCCAGTGAAAAGGAGCCCAGTGCAGCCCTGGGCCCTGCTGTCAGCTGCAGCCCACCCCCCCGCCCCATACTGATCTGGGGGGTACACGCCCCCCCAGCCCGTGCCCTCCTGGGGTGCGCACTGCAGCAGGAGCTGCCCCCACCCCAGCTGGGCAGTGCCTGCCCCCTCCCTCACTGTGTGGGGCGTTGATCTGCCCCCCGCATGCTCCTCCCCTGCCCCCTCCGCTTCCACCACAACAGACTTACCAGTTAGAGGCAGCTCTCCACGCTGTATCAGAAATTGCTTCCTTAAAAATCTGATAGTGGTATTGGCCCCAAAAATCTCTGTTGGTATACCCATTTAGGAGACCAACCTCCAATACCCGGGACAGCTGTCTGGACCTGGGCAGGAGGGGCACGTGCGCAGAACTTAGTGGAAAGCAACATATAAATTTGTATACCCCGCCCCATGTTCTAATTTCTTCCTTTTGTCATGCTTATGTCATGGCGAATCACCATTTCCTTTGCTGCATATCATTGTTCCACCTTTGTTGTTGTTTTGCCTATTATAATTAGTGGTTATCATAACATTTTGCATGCATATAGACTTTGTTCTACTATTGCGCAGGCACTCTTATGGCTGGGGGTCACCCATAGGTTATCCTGTATCATAGCCTGGGAGGTTGAACTGAGGTGTGATCATTGCTAGTTGAAAACTTTTCCCTAATAAAATAGGGAATCTTTAACCTCCAGGATATCTATCTTAACTGTCTGTACCTGTCTTGAGCTAGTTCAGTTGGCTTTTACAATGTTTTGACACTTAGTCTTGTGACTCCGGCTGTAATCTTGCATTGCTAACTCAGCATTTGTTATTAGTTATTTGTATTCTCTTCCCTACAATTTTGATCCCCAACTTCAATTTCCTCCATAACACAGGACCAAAAAAAGTTCACCCAATAATTTCTGCTTCAAGTTTTTATTGTCTAAATCCCCAATGAAGTACTCTGCCTATAAAACATGTCCTAGTCTTCTTTGTAAGTAGGCTTTTACCAGTATACCTGCGCACCACCTGTGCTAATTTTCAGCTTAGTTGAGGTACAGTCTTTTGAGTATAGATTGAGAAGGCAAGGTATAAAAATACCAGGTTCACAATATTTAATTAGAGTATTGTATCATCCAGCAGCCCTGGTTGCAGCCAGAGCCCCATGACACTACATGGAACAAATACTACATGACAGGTGAACTTTATCTTACAATACATTTTGCTGCTAATGGTTGTTTGGTATATAGCCTTTAAAAGAGTGTCTTTCAAGATGGTTTAAGTCGTTATTTTAAACTTGTTCTTAACTATGCCAAGGAAAAATGCCAATAAAGATCGTTATTGAAGACCAACTGTAATAATTCTGAGCATTCCAGAAATAAATCCAGTGAATGTCAAAAATAAAACATTACATGAATCAGAACATTTGGGTAGAGATGGGATAAACAGCTGCAAACATGCCTGAACATCTGCCTTTTAAGGATTAGTTTATTACTACCAAAAAAGGGTTGGCAACTCTATTTCTGGAAAGCAATGATTATCATTGGCTACTTAAAATGATCTACAGCAGAGCTTTCCAAACTTTTCATGTTGGTGACACACTTTTTAGACGTGCATCATTTCGCGACACAGTAATTCAGTTCCGGGGGAGGGGCCAAGGGAAGCAGACGCGAGTAAGGGAGCTCCGCAGTGCCCTTCCGCAAAATTTTCTGCATTTCGTGCGACACACCTACACACTGCCGCCGACACACTAATGTGTCGTGGCACACAGTTTGGAAAGCTCTGATCTACAGTGTTTTCCCCTTGAAGTGGTTATCCCAAGGTATATATCCACTATTTAATTTGTCCAATTAAAGATGGCAGTCAAAGGCTTCTATTCCAGTCAGTCCTATTTCACTAGAGTTTTGTGAATCTGATCACAAATTCTGATAGATAAATTAACTGTCTTGGGATGTTCTTACTCTCTTATTACTGGCCTCATTACCGCTAATAAGAGTTACTTGGATAAGGAAGAGATGAGCTGAATGTTGAGATAATGATAGAAATAGCTTTTGATTGGTATGAGTGAATTCAAGTCAGGAGGGCTGCATCCCAGGGTAGTGAAGGAGCTGGCACAGGAGATATTGGAGCTCTTGGCAGTAGTATTTACTAAGTTGTGGGAGACGTGCAAAGTACGAGAGAAGTGGAAAAGGGCCAAACATAGTGCCTATTAAAAAAGAAAAAAGCCAAAAAGAGAACCTGGAGGGTTATATGTAAGTTAGCCTAACTTCAATGCGTAGGAATTTACTGGAGCGTATCATAAGAAAGTTAATTTGTAAGCACCTGGAGGAGGAAAATTTGATCATAAGCAGTCAGCATAGGTTTGTCGAGAACAAATCACGACAAACAAATTTGATCTCGTTTTTTGACAAAGTTAGTAGCTGGAAGGATTAAGGGAATACAATAGATATACTATATCTGAATTTCAGCTAAGCTTTTGACAAAGTCCCATATGACCTTCTCATAAGCGAACTGGAGAAAAGCAAGCATGATGAAACTGCTGTAAGGTGGATAGGTAACAAGATAGCCACCAGAAAAAAACAATTGTAAATGGATCCATGGCAGAACGGCAGGAGGTTTCATGTGGAGGCATAGTGCTGTTTAATGCATTTATCAACTGTTTGGATACTGGAGTTGAGAGATTTCTGAGCAAAGTTTATGGAGGAGAAAGGATGATAGAAAGGAGACGCATTGTGTGGTTTGCTGTCCTCAGGTTGCAGAGCAGAGTGGAGGGTGTTTGGCTTTTCCTATGCTTCTGGGTTTTGCTGGTTGACACAGGGGACAGGGAAGGAATTTCCACTAGGGCTGTGTGAAACTTCAGTCCCTGATTCGATTCGGCAGAGATTCGACCCGATTCGGTGGCTGAATCTCTGAAACCGAATCGAATCAGAGGACCCTTTAATCTCTCTGAATCAAATCAGAACCCCCCGAATCGATTCGGAGAGATTTGGGAAGATTCAGCGATTTGGACCTAGACACAGCTTTAAATATTTTCTCTACATACCTCTAGGTAGCAGGTGGCTTGTAAATGCTGTGATGGTGGGGTGGATGGAGTGTCCCACAGAAGCGTGGGGGGCTCCCCAGCGTGCTCGGCAGCAGACCTGAAGCACTTCCTGTCCACTTCTGGGTCTGCCGGAGAGAGCATGGGGGGGGGTCCCCCTCATGCCCCCCCGGCTCAGCAAGTGGTGCCTCCTTGGTTTGGGGGGGCACCCGGGGTCCCCCTGCAGCCGACTGCTGAGCTGGGGTGGGGCGGGGGGGCTCCCCGACTGACCTGGAAGTTGACCAGAAGTGCTTCTGGTCCACGTCCAGGACTGTATTCAAGCGCATTGGAAAGCCCCATGCGCTTCTGTGGGACACTCCCTCCTGTGGGACGCTTCATCCTCCCCAGCATTGCAGCATTCATGAGCCGCTCCAGGTGCCTCAAGGTATGTAGAAAAAACATTTAAAGCTGCTATGGCCAAATCGCTAATTCTCCGAATCAGCATCAAATCTTCAGGTTTGGATTCAGCCACATCGAATCGGGGATAGTGATCTGAATCAACGAATTGAATCACTGTCCCCGATTTGGGCCGAATACGAATTGAATAGGGCCCGTTTTGCACATCCCTAATTTCTACCACCACCTCCCCTTCTGTTGCTACAAGGGTCAGGGGTTTTTTCACCTTCCTCAGAAGCGTTGGGTGTTGGCTGCAGCCAAGGTGGGGGACTGACGGACATGTGCCACTGTTTCTGCTGGAACTAAAACAAGAGTTTCCTGGTTAGTTCCTGTTCTTGCCCCTCTGCTCAGGATCACACCGATCACCACAATTGGGGTCAGGAAAGATTTTAACCCATAGTTACATTGGTACAGACTATGGGGGATTTTGCCTTTCTCTGTAGCTGGTGGGGGACATGGTATTCTTCCTTGAATCCTTTGCATGTATTTACCAATTGTGCAGTGGCAGGATATTAAAGAGTACCCTCATCCCCCTACTTTATCTAGTGGCAGGTTAGGATGTTCTAGGTGACCTTGAGCCAAGTGCTTTGCACTTGTGTGGCAGGGTTGTTTGTCTAGTTTTAGGAATAGGTTAAATAAGCACTTGTGTGGGATGGTTTGGATAGGGATGTATCTGTCTTGAGCACGTGGTTCGACCAGATGATCTCCTGAGGTCCTTCCAGCCCTGCTTTTCTCTGAACTAACTTAAATTAAGAAATATCAATGAACTCTTTGAGTATTTGAATGGAAGAATCAAGCTCCCTGACTTGGTTTTCTCTCCCTGTTTCAGGAAAACAGTTTAAGTGTACAGTGTGTGACTACACCGCAGCCCAAAAGCCACAGCTCCTACGTCACATGGAACAACATGTATCCTTCAAGGTAAGAAATCAGATAAGCCGTGGTTATTTCTTTTGTAGGAATGGAGGTGTCTTCAAACTTCACAGGAGGGTTTTAGGAGAAAGTAACATGATTTTTCATGATAAATCCATGACGTTATATGTTTTTAATGTTGACATTCCACCAGTAAGAGTTATTGTATAAAGAATGGAGTCGAAAATGCTTCATGTTTTCAAAGAAGCAAACTTCCATGTATTGTTTGTTGTCTCCCTGAAGCCTTTTTCAAGGTGGCCACTGCATATATAAAAGACGAGTGAATTTAATTCAAAAGAAATAGGAGACTATGAATCCTGTCTAAAAAGTATCTTGGGACAAGTTTTAAAGCTCACTAAAATTCCAATGAGTTTCTTAGATTTTATTTTAATACAACTTAGTATTATAGTCTAAGTTTTACCTTGGTTCTCAGTGTAGTAAAATTTTATGCCATGAATACAGAGATTTCTATAATTGAGGAACAAAAATGACATGCCCTTTCATTTTCAGCAAAAAATAATATTTAATCTTTGAAAAAATACTCAGCATAATTTAACAGTTTATCCTGATAAAGAATAAACTTTTTAGCCATTCTACAAAGAGGTTTTATCATTATTTGTATGCATTGCCTTTCCTTACCTAGAAATTCATTATTTTATCAACTAGCCAACATTGTGTTGACTCTTTCTAAAACAGAAATTAAGACAATCCTCAGATCAGAGTTTGTTTTATTTTTTATGTTGGTCTTACTGAAATTTTAAAGTAAGACATCTAGAATGTTGTAATTTTTAGATAATTATATATTTTTCTTAATCAGATCATTTTTATTCCTTTTGCATCATGATCTATATTTCAAGTATTTATTATGCTGGATAGAAATTTGATTTGATTTGCTTTGATTTTTGATGGCTGTTCCTATGAGCTTACGTTTTATAGTTGTCACACAGCAGGGCTGTTATATGTTTGAGACGTTGGTTGCTTTTTATAGAATAGAGCCCTCTCTTAATCTGCTATATAATTATTATGCTATTTGTAATAGATGCCTTTTTGTTTGCAAATGCTTCTTTCAAAGGTCTGGAAGAAAATTTGAAGGGAGATTTGTATTCATTATTTAGAAAAACATATTTTGGGACAAAAATACTTAAAATGCAGCCCTTGTGGTATGCAATCCTGGTAGACCTCTGGATAGAATTTGAATTCTCATGGCCCCTTGTCTCCTTTCATGCCTCCTGTCAGTCTGAAATAATAGTAGCCAATGAATTATTAAGAGAACTTCAAGAAATCTCAACTGGCTCTGTGAAGGGGCTTTGTCAGAGTTTTTTACTAAACTCGTGGTCAGTGAATGCATCCTCTTCTGTTGGGACCATTGTTTGTGTATGTGTAAAACACAAGTGAGGATGTTGCAATCATGTGGTATGTCTGTACGGCTCCTGGCACATGTTCACTAAAGGCACCAGGGGATCTGATCCCCAATCCCAACAATACTGCCTCTTGCCATGCCACATGTGACACGATTCGGGGATCAGGGATCAGATCTTAGTCATGCCCTCTCTGCTTGCTGGTGCAGGGTGAGCCTGGGAGCCTGATCCTGGGCTCCTCCTGCACTACCAAGTTGAAAGCTGGGTGCTGGCAAGACCCATGGCTGTGCCAGTACCGAGTCTGATAATCACCTGACTGTCAGTACCATCCCTGGGGCAGCCCTGGACATGCCATGTATTTCATTTAAGGATCCATGCAAACCAACCAATAAAAAATGTTGTACATTTTTCTTGTAAGTTTGCCACTTTATGGTGCCTTTAATTGGATGCTTGTGTTAGAACCCTGGCCATTTATGCTGCGATTAACATCTCAATCACGGCATAAATGTAGCGCACAGAAGGGCCCTAATTCTTATCTGTCTGATTTCTAAATCACCAGGCCTTTTCAGTAGTTGAGCCAGGAGATGTTGGTGAATTTCAAATGGTTGTTAGAAAACCATTAGAAAATATGTAGAGTGCAAGAATTGGGACGATGGAGTTTATTCTCCATTAGTGATTTAATTTTTGTTTGCTTTATCCTGATGCCCAATGAGTGGTAACTATAATTCAGCCAAGTAAGTAGCAGGCAGTAACTGCTTCTGCCCAGTTCATTTTAAACCACCTTTTTATGGTGGGGGTGGGAAGGGGGAGAGGAAAATCAAAGTTACTCTTACTCAACCCAACATGGCTCTCTGACATGGACAGAAGGGAGTAATCAGGTATTTTTCTTCCTTTCATTTTTTTAAATACTAATCAGTGGGCACATCTACACGTTCATTAATGCACAATGATGACTGCACATTTAATTTAGTACTTGTATAATTAAGTACTAAATGCGCATTAACTAGAGTTATTGTGCAGTAGCATCAGTGAACGCCTTTTTAGTGACACTACTGTGCAGTAGCCTGATAATACTGCACAGCAGCATATTAGCACAGTCTGTGCTGTGACGTGCTGCTGTGCAGTGTTATTAGGCTACTGGGCAGTTAGCGTCTCATGTAGATGTGCCCAGTATGAACTGATCTATGCTAACCTGAAGGATTTCTAGTATGTACACCAGCATATCATCTAGACAGCATTCCCTGTATTCCCTGTACCTTTTTATTTAGTGTCGTGCACTGAAGGGGATGTAGGTGGGAAAACGGTTTTCTGAAATTGCCACCATGTTTATTTGCTCAGACATTACAGTGATGTGAACTATGTAAGCAAGTGAATTTCAAAGGATAGGGAAGTAGAGCAGCAGCCAGGGGGAATAGCATAAACCTGGAATAGTAAATGCAGGTTGACTGATGTTAAGAGAAATGACATAGGCTGGCCAAAGATATGCCAAGGTGGGAATTGGGGAGACTGCTGCTCTGTATTGTAAGAGGCTGGGAGGATAGTCCAGGCCAGGAGAAGAGAGAGAACATAAGGGGAGCTATTTCGTGTCAGACGAGGTTCAGCTAGCCCGATATTCTGTATCTCACATTGGCACAGAGCAGAAAATGAATAAGAAGAGAGTCAGGAGAGGAACACGTTAAAATAAAGTTGCAATAATGGTGACAGTGCTGTATTCCTTCAGCTGAGGGTGACCTTGGTGAACTGCTCAAGTGCTGCATTGGAGCAAAGGGTTAAAAATCATTTAAAAGATCCTGTAGGCCCAAGCAGAAAATTCATGTATAAGTGTTGCTTTGTGTTAGGTCTTTCCAATGTGCAGTATTACATTGTCAGCTTATCTAATGGGCACTGTTTTGATTTCTCTCCATTTGGGCTTTTTTTTGTCCTGTTTGCAAATTGCTTCCCGCCTTCCTCCCTTCCTCTTCTCTACTCTTTGTTATTCTTAAAGACCAAATATAATTTTAAAATGTTTCCGTTGGGAACAGTCGAGGGGTATTTTTAGATGAAAAAAAACCCCATTGCATTATTTAATGTGCATTAGAGAGTATTTACAACATTTCAAAAGAAAAGAAATGCCATTTAGGTAAAACATTCCCTGGCTGTTTGTTCATTCCTCCACACTTTGGAAATATTGTACTTGCTAGCAAAATAATGAGAAAATCAATTACTTGAATGTCCTTTCTAAAGAGTTTAAACTCTCATGCCAAACCTTTTAGAGCAGATTGATTTATTGTGATTTAGCATGCCTTAAGTGCTAGGCCATTTTATGATAGTAGGATACATCCAGACTTCAAATAGGTAAATGAAGTATTTATTTTCCTGTTTTCATCTACTTCTCTGACAAAATAAAACATACAATTAGATGTTGTTTTTAATAAATAAAAAGTGGATCCTTACGTTTGTCACATTTTGTGTTTGTTTATTGTTTTTCCGTATTTTAAGGGGTATTGGGGGTATCTGCAATGGGCACTATTTATGTATCGTATAGAGTGTTTCCTTTCTGCAAAGCTATTATGCTAATCAAATTTATTAGCAGTGGTCTGGGCTTTTTGAAAACTTTGAAAGCTTCTATAAACTTAGGAAATAGTAATACTGTTTCCTAACTCCTCCAGGATTTTCTGGTCCATAAATGTTTGTCATATAAAAGTGTTTAGAAAAAGGACTTTTAAGCATTGTTCACTTCACGGGAGTCTTTAAAGAGACATGGATGGCAAAGCAGAAGACAAAAAAACAAAACAAAATTTACCATATCAAATACCTGGATACCTACTATTGTAACAAGTATCATTTAAGGTTACTATAATAGAAGAGATCAGAGGGAAATATCTTTCTCTCTCTTTTCAGTTTTTTACCTTTGTGCATTCAGTACTCTTTGTTTGGCAGGTAGTCAGTCAGGCGCCAGTGTAGTGCTGGGGTTTGCCTAAATCTGGCCATTCGCATTGCTGTTGTCAATTATTTCTGCTGCATGTGTGTGTCTTTCACACAGGAAGCAAAGAGCAGAAAGTCTTTTAAATAACAAGAAAATCCAATTATAACACCTAAGCAATTGGACAAATGCAAAGCTGAAAATGTAATGCCTTAAAGCATCTTTAACTCATTTTTTGATGTATTGAATTTCAAGTTGACAGCAGTTTCTAAGTAGTCAATGTGTATGTGTCATGATTATGTCAAAGGAATTTTCTAAGCTTGTTAAAATCTCTTATAAACAAATCAAATCTACAAATTGATTTAGAATTATTCTTCCATAGTTTACCTGTCTGCTTTCAAAAAGGAAACAGTGCAGCCTGGTGAAGAGTCAAGCTTGCAGATATTTCTGATACCATTTCTTGCAGATCAAGATTTCTTCATCTTTTGTCATAGGCAGCAGCCAGTTATACTACAGCCATCTGTCTCTTCCTCGTCTTTCCTACGTTAAGAGAATCAAAACATTCTCAGCTAATTCAGACCTGTGAGAATTTGCAGTACTGGGGGGCCGTTAGCAAGTAAAGAGGTTGCTTGTGGTACAACAGTATCACGTAACCTTTTTCAGAGCAAATTGAATCACGGGTTTTGCAAACTCCTGCAGCAGCTTTGCTACAGTAGGGCTCCTAATGCTGCCAACACTCATGGTGATGAAAAGTAATCAGCAAAGAAGGAAATGTGGGTAAATTTTCCTACAGAAGATGGGACTTCCCTAGATGTGCCTTTGTTTTTTGCATTCCCCTTTCTCAAATTACATAGCTTTTTATACTCTCTACTGAGATGAATACTGCAATTCTGCTATTATAACTAATATAATTATTATAACTATAGTCAAGTTTCAGAAGATGACATCACATACTATTCAAACCATCGGTTATCATTAGAGAAGTTGAGAGTAATTGCACCAATTTTAAGGAGTTGATTGTTTACTCTGAAAAGTTAATTGGAATAATTAACTAGCATAGCAGAGCCTTAATTGAAATCAGAAGACTGGCTATTTTTTAATTCCCAAGACAAACACTGGTGGAAATTCTGTTCTTTGTGTGTCACTAAAGTTTAAGACTAAGGAGACGTTATCCAATGCCAAGTAGGGATGTTTTTGCATGTTGTTGCTGTTGCCATGTGTTATCATATTGCCCCATTCCTGCTTCAGATAATTTATCATTTGGGTACAAGAGACGCACAGAGGGGAATTTAGTAGTTACACAAGGAAATAGTATCTTCTCCTATGCTGTCTTCCTGGCTCAATGGCTCTTGGATTCTTTTCTGCACAGGAGGGCAGAACAGCCTGTAGCCAGGTATTTAAGATTCATAGATTCATAGATATTCCCCTGGGAGGTAGAAGATAGGGATTTGAAATTCCCCAGGCATTGAAACTGGGTATCCTACATCCTGGCCAGGGACTTTAACCGTTTGGCTTCAATAAACAAGAGATGGTGGCACCACGACCACTTCCTCCTCTTCCTGCAGCTGTGACTTGAGGGTCTCGCTCCACCCGTGATGAGAAGGGTATAAGTGCCAGCCTCCAGCAAGTATTCTGGGCTGTGGATCCTGAGTAAATTGTCAGTCTTTCCCTGCAGCCTTTGGCAAGGGCCAGATTTCAAGCATCACCAGTGGTCAGTGTGTCCTGCTGGCTTGCCCTAGATCACAGCTGTCCAACTGGCAGCCCACAGGTGAACGTAGACTGCAAAAAATTGCTCCTACTGCAGTGGTCAGTCTCTCCGCTCCTCCTTCTCCCATCCCCTGGTGGTGGGATGGCATGGCAGGAAGGGATCTAGGGAGGGAAGTCTATCTGTGTGTCTTCACAGTGTGGGTGGAGGGACCAGACCAGCAGCCCTGTCTGCGCGGTGCACGCAACGTGGGGAATTAGGCTGCGTGCATGGTCTGGGGGCAGGAGGGGGCACGCGGTCCCTGAGATGTGAGGCCTGGAGTTCTGTGGCCCATGTAGTGTGCAGCACCTTTCCATCCCCCATTGCTCACAAGTTGGACAGCCCTGCTCTAGATGGCTGTACACTGCTTGGTGTGCCATGGTGAGGTGTCTAGAGGCAGGTCTGTATTGCCTACGTGGTTCTACTGAGGCTGCTTGCCCGTGCTTCAGAACCAGAACTGAGGAGGATGTCTGAAGACAGCAGCAGAGAGTGTCCCTGGACCATCTTGACTGTGTCCATTGTGGTTTAGGGGTGATTTGGGGTTGGGGGCTTAGTTTTTGGCAGCAATCTTAGGAAGCCCTTGGAGGTGGTATAGACATCAAGGCTTCTTACAAATGTTAAAAAAACAAAACAAAACTGCGTTTTACCGAAAGAACCAGCTCATTATTTTGACCCAGCTCCGCAGTGTCTGCATAGATCAGGCTCTTCAGCAGGTCTTTTTGACACTTTTCTCTAAAACTGATTCAGTCTGCTATTAGATAAAGTGCCAAAAAAGCCCCACTAAAAGTCCTGATCTATACAAACATGGGCGAGCCGGGTTCAAGTAGTATGATACCTCCTCTGAGCATCTGCTGGACTCGACACAGGAGTGCACTGAGTTTAAAATAAAGCATCCTTTTTTTTGTTGTTTTTTTGGCGGGTTTTAACATCTGTAAGCAGCCCTACACTTCATTCCCCCGCACACTAAATGGAGTGTAGATTCTGTTCCAAGGGGCAGGAGCCTAATACTTGGGCATTGCAGCTTCCTTCTCTGTGGAAGACCTTTGTAGCATCTTGCTGGTTGACCTAGTTGTTCAAGTCCTCCTTCCTACCCTATTTATACTCAAGTTACATTGCTTACATCAGTCAGAATCTGATCTCCATGCATCTTAGAAAGTCTTTTCATAATCAGACCCATAATTATATATATATATATAATTATATATCACAAAGCACGCAAGGTAAAAGTGTTACCCTGAGGATGCCTACTTTTTGATGCTTATAGTAAACCAGGAGTGAACAAAATGCGGCTCGCCAGCTGATTGGATCCAGACAATGGGCAGGGACCTGCCAGTTGGTTGCATCTGGGCCATGGTGCTCTGCATGGGGCTGAGCCCTGCCCAGAGCAAGCCTGCACTCCTACCCACCCCAGCCCCAGCCAGTGTACACAGCTTCCCAGCAGGCTGCTCCCAGTGCAGCTGCAGCTGCCCAGGTACTGGTTGGATCCCCTTGCCTCCAGTAGCTCCTCGTCCTTCTGCCCCTGCTGTGCTGCTCCAGCACTCAGCACACAGAAGCAGCAGCAGCAGCCACAGGGATGTGTGCTGGGCACTGCACGTCCAGGAGGGGTGAAGGGGGAGCTGCAGCTGGGTGGCTCCTTCCCCAGCATGTGGTCCAACTCCCGGCTGCCTTCAACCCACTTGGCTGCCCGCAGGTGGCTGATCATCTGCCCCACACACACACTATACAGGAATAAGACTTTATTTGCAGCTACTAGGCAATTGCCTCTATATATATGCTACTCAAAAAAACCTAAATCAGGACAAAACTTAAAAAAAAATGAAATAAAATGAAATAAATAAAATTAAAACGAAATAAATTAAAATATAGTAGATGTTTGATTTTTAGTTAATGATTTGTTTTTTATCTATAATTTGTTAAAATGATATTTTCTGAAAGATTTTGCGTGTGTAGCCCTCAACAGCTCACCAAAACTTGGTAAGTTGCCCTCCAGCTAAAATCATTGCTCATCGCTGTAGTAAAGTGACAAAATTCAGGTAAGAGTTGGCTTAAATGTAAATATGTTGTTTTGAAAGTTGTCCTCTTAGAGATAATTATATACGTGCCTAAAAACTGACATGAATGTACTTAATATGTCCTTAATTAAGTCTGTATCTTGGTCAGAAGGGTGAAGTTTGGACCAATCCGTAGAGCAAGTAAACGTATGAAACGTTCTGGCTCTTTTCTTTTTGCCTCTAGCCTTTCCGTTGTGCGCACTGCCATTATTCCTGCAATATATCTGGCTCCCTGAAGAGGCATTATAACAGAAAGCATCCCAATGAAGAGTATGTTAATGTAGGGACTGGTGAACTTGCTGCAGAAGCTCTTATACAACAAGGTAAGTTTCCAGGGTTTTTTTTAATGATTTAGTCTATGGGTGAGGGCTCTTCTTTGTTTTTGTTTTTGCTGTTGAACCAAGTTGATTTAAATGTGAATTAGCAATGACTTCACAGTTTAATTATACATTGTGTGAAAAAATTATCTCCTTTTATTGGTTGTGAAGTGGCTAGCTTTTCAATTTCATTCATCCTACTCTTGTTCCTGGTTTATGAAGTGCTGTGAACAAAAGTTCCTGATTGACCTTGCCTTTCGTAGTCATTATTTTATATCCATTTATTGTATCTTTTCCTCATTTGCGTCCTTTCTAACTCAGGTAAACAGTCCCAATCTCTCTAAATAAGAAATCGGCTAACACATTTCCATGGCTGTTTTTGTAAGGCTGAGCTAAATCCTAAACAAGATTAAGAGTAAATGGCACTATGTTGTTTTCTCAGTAAACAAGTAGATTAGAGGAGAGGAAATAATTACAGATCGGTTGTAAATGAAAATGGCCTTGGCCTCACACTGGATTTTTGGAGGCATGTCAAATAGTTATTTGAATTGAAATCAAAATAAGGCTATAAAGTTTAACTATATCTGTTGATAAATTTAATTGTGTCAACTTTTAGTCTGGTACACAAAGGCATTTTACTCATAGCAATATTTGGAGGTTTTCAAAGGCACAAATTCCCCATACCCACAGACCTCCCCTGGGAGTTGAGCACTTCAACTTTGTACTTCTCTCCTCCTTAACGATGGCCATTTTACTGTTGAAACCCAATGCCCTGTTGTGAAACAGTTATGGTTATCTTTTTCACCCTGTTATTCTATATAAATAAGAGTAAAAAGGATTCATGGGTTTCACTTGAAGATGGATTCTGCACCCTAGAGCTCAAGGGGCACATCCATATAAGCACACCCATGCTCTTTGTGGCATTTCAAAGGCTTTAGAGGTGCCGCAAAATGCACCCTGTGCATGTGATTTGGATCTTGGTGGTGCATATTTGCAGCATGGAGCCAGATTTAGATACTGGGAAATCCTGGTATCAGGAAAAAGCACACTGAAAATGTGGCACAGGACACAGAGCAGCAGAGTGCACCAGCTGAAACCAGAGCCTGGCTGGCCAGAGCCACGCTCCGGCTGCTGGCTAAACTCCATGCGCCTGGATTGCCACCACTGCAGCCCCAGGGCCCCAGGTAAGGCTATTGGGGCCAGCCCAGATGCTGGCCCCAGCATCCCTTTTCTCACAAGGGGCAGTTTGCCCCACAGCAGAGCATGCATGCAGGGGTACTCCCTGGGGACTGTGGCAGAAATGCCACCGTCGGTGCCCCTCTCCCAAGATCTGTCTCAACCAGCCTGAGAGGCTGCTGTTGAATCCCTCACAGCGGGGATCTCGCTCCTTGTCTGCAGACAAAAGCCTGGCGCCTGGGAGGCGATGCTCTGGTCACCTGGGCAGGGGGGAAATACCTGGCCCTG